TTTTTTTTTTTGTTCGCTTGACAGTGTGTGTTTATTTGTGTTCTGTTTTCTTTTTCTTCTTCTTCTTAATATTATCGTCCAAGATTCGCACATAAAATCATTGACTGTGCAATCATGCGTATCTTTGTATTTTTCTATAAACTTTATCTGCATTCTTGAAGTCCTCATTTTCTTGTTTTTTTTTAAATGCGTCGCTTTCAATTTGACTTATGCTGTTTATCTTGTAAAAGTAATTTTTTTTTCCATTAAAATATACACATCATTATTTGATATTTAATACAAAAAGAAAAATAAACAAACAAATAATTTTAGGATTTTAATTCAATTTTTCAGATTACAAAAATAAATAAATAAATAAATAAAACACAATTGACAATAATGTTATTACTTATTTAAGTAAGTTTTGTTTAGTAATTGAACTCTTTTAGTTTAACTCGATCATATTTATATTTCATCAACAATAATATGTAAAGAGAGTAATCATTAAATCCAATTAAAACTTGAGTTCATAGAAATCAAATTCAAAATGTAATGTGATATCACTGTTTTTTATAGAACTTTTCATAAGAATATCATAGAGATCTGAGGTTTTCATAAATTAAGAGTGAAGATCCGAGACTAGCGAAGTTTATGAAAGTTTGATTAGTCAGCAAGTGACTAATCGGATGAACTCTTTTCCTTTCGTTTTAAACTTTTAATAAGGCTACTCAATAATTTCAACATATTGACCTGTAATGATCCAGAAAAGCAGCTTGGCAAGAGTAATTCATCATATGAAGTCGAACAAAATGATCTGACTACATTACCTCAATATTTCTCACAACTTCAAAATCGGTCAGATGTAACAAAGGAGTTAACATTTCAGAAACCTATCTAGCTGCTTTTTGGGACTTCACTGGTCGATTAACTCAAATCGAAGGTCTCAAAGAATATCTTACACCTCTTGAGTGGAACACAGTAGGAGTTTCCATATTGCGCAAATGAATTTTCTATCGATCAGCCTTATCAAAAGTTTAAATTGAAAGAGAAATAGCTTCAGAGTCTTGTATCCGAAAATCTTTATAGTATGAATTAAATAAGAGATCATTACAATAGAAACTATTGCTGTGTACCGAAATTTTGCCAGCATACTTCCTGCGATTTCATCAATTTGTGTATTACTTTGATATTGATTAAAGAGATCGGTATCAATTACTTTACTTTCATGAGTACAAGTATCAAGATACGTAGGCTTGGATAGATGCAAAAAAATTTTCTAAGTCTATTTAGAAAGTTCCAAAAAAGCTCACTCTGTACCTATCTACAAAATACATTTTCTTTTTATTGCGACTAGTTCTTACATATATACTACATATACACTGTTCGACGACTACAAATGAAAGTTCATGAGTCCGTCGTGAAATAGTTGGCGAAAGTCTTATTAATGAAGAGTGAGATTTCTATCATAGTTTGCCAGAATGATCCTTTATTAATAGTTTCACTTAAAGATTGTGATAGGAATTTGTGCAATTAATTATAATAATCGAATCAGTTCTATCAACCTCATATTCATCATTTGGGTATTTGAATCAATACCTACCGATTTCAATATACGATTGAAAATTGCTGAAAAATTTATCAGCATTTTGATATATTGGATAGAGTTAATTTATCTAATTCGAGATTCTATATTGCAGACCGGATTCAAAAAAATCTAATAGATTCAGCAACAGTCATACCAGTTAAGATGGCTCCTTCTTCTCATTGATTCGGCACGTATATTGAACATATACACTAGAACAATAAGTTATACAAATTATTCTACATACGGAGTAGAGAACTTGTCAGATTGACTGATTTAACTTGATACAAGATTCTAGTCTGATGATAAAATATTATCATATTTTCATAGTTTGTATCATATGTACATTTATCAATAAATTAACAACATTACTCTTATATTTATACGACCTTTACATTTCATAAACATTATTAAATATGTGTAATAATACAGGTGTTCTATGTTTCATTTTGATGCTTGTCTAAATTAATTTGTTAACAGAGTAATTAAATAAATAGTAAATCAGACACACTAAAAGCTCGATTGTTTTGTACAAAATTCTAACTCATTTAAGTAATTAATTTTATGATATTTTCTAACATTAATTCATACCTTAATCAAATTAGAAGAAAGTATTCGCTTGATTTTATTGTAATATTCTGTTACTTTTTTTTTTCGTAATATACATTTCCCATGCATTAAATGTTGGCTGACATTTTTTCAATTGCCATCGAAAATAAGAGCATTAGATTTCATTGTATTTGATATTTAATGTATCAAAAGAATGTCGAAATAAGTTTTTTATTGTCAGGAAACTATTTTCGTCTATATTTATTTTCGAATTGAAATAAATAAGTTTTATGATTTCTTTTTATCTTTTTCTTCAGTCAATATTCCTATTGACATGAAACTTAAAAAAAAAACAAGTGTTTGATTTAGTCTATTGCATATAATCCTATTTTTTTTTATTCTTTCTGTTTATATCACTAACAAAAAAAAAGTACAGATAAAAACAAAGGAGATCGGGAATTTGTATATAGCACTCATTCATATGATGAAATAAATTAAAAATACACTTTATCGTTTGTAGTAATATGGAGAATAGCCCTTGACATATCTATATTTTATGAATTTCTCAACAACCATATCATTTTCTATGACAATTATTTTCAATATTATTTGTCTATTCTAGATGATATAATTTTTCCGTTATAACTGTGAATAATTTTACACATTAATTTTTATTTTATTCATAAAAAAAAAACAAAAGAAAAAAAAATAAGCATAACTATCAAATTACATTCAAGTCATTATATTCGTATTGAACAATCATAAATACTTTCAAGAATAAATAAATATACATATGATGACAACATTTCTTAGTTCTGATGCTGCATGTCGTGTAACATCTCAAGAAATAATAAAAATTTTACAAACCGATGCTAAATTAGGTTTAAATGAAAATGAAATATTAAAACGACGAAAATATTATGGTCTAAATGATTTTGAAATAGATGATGATGAACCATTATGGAAAAAATATTTAGGACAATTTAAAGAACCAATGATATTACTTTTACTTGCATCAGCATTTATATCATTAGTAATGAGACAATATGATGATGCTGTATCAATAACAATAGCTATTATTATTGTTGTTACTGTTGCATTTATACAAGAAAATCGAGCTGATAAAGAAATTGAAGCATTAAAACGACTTGTACCACCTAAATGTGTTTGTATACGAGAAGGTAAAAGTCAACATATTTATGCAAGAGAATTAGTACCAGGTGATTTATGTATTTTGGATATTGGTGATCGTATACCAGCTGATTTACGTTTAACTGAAGCAAATGATGTATCTATTGATGAATCATCATTTACAGGTGAAACAAAACCATCGATGAAAACTGTTGATTCAATTTCATTTGGTTCAAGACAAACATCAATTAGTGATAGAAAAAATACTGCTTTTATGGGTACACATGTACTTAATGGAAATGCTAAAGTAAAGATAATTGAATATAATAGTTTGAATTATAATTTCATTATTTTTTTTTTTTTTGAAAGGGTATTGTGATATGTACAGGTGAAAATTCAGAATTTGGAAAAGTATTTCAAATGATGCAACAACAAGAAGTAAAAAAAAAGAAAAGATAACAATAAAAAAAAAGATTTTCTAGAATATTTTCTTTTATTATAGGCACCAAAAACACCATTACAAAAGAGTATGGATGCATTAGGAAAACAACTTTCATTTTATTCATTGAGTATTATTGGTTTTATTGTTATTGTTGGATGGTTACAAGGTAGACATCTACTTGAAATGTTTACCATCGGTGTCAGGTATGTTTATATCTATAATTATAAGAATCATTTCAAGAAAAACCATCTTTCATATTTAACTTTGATTCTTTACAAAGATTATTTTTCTAAATATGTTCGTTTAGCATAGACATATGTAAAAATAGTGTCTCTGTCAGTTGAATATTAATTAAAACTGATCATAGTAGTCATATGTAGTTTCGCTATAGAGCATCGATAAGCCTCAATACGAAAGATCTACGATGAAAACATTAGGTTTTTCTTAGGGCCTAACAAAGGCTTTTTTGACACTTTTCTAGTTTTCTACTATTTAAATATAATAATATTTATTTTCTCATTAACAAATAAAAGTTCGCAAGTCTATATTATGTCATAAATAGAGTACTCCAATCCACTGTAACCTCGAGACGCGAAAAAATCTCCATTATCTGAGACGGTCTTAGCATGCATCTCTGTTTTCTATGTTGAAATATCCTTGTCTGAAGAAAAGCTTACGTTGACCTTCTAACTCATCCGCATGATAATCGATCAGTGTTCGACACGTTCTATTTGTGATCAAAGTATGAGACTAAAAAAATATAATTTTAATTACTTATTATCTGGTAGTAGGACTTTTTTGCGACTACTTTAGTTCATTGTAATTAATTAAAAAATAATCAGAGTATATTTTTCTAAATATAGGAGAGGAAAAATATCTGAAGACTTCATGATAGATTCTATGGCACAAATCACCTCTTTGATGAAGTCTTCAGCAGGATCCGACTCAAAAAAAAAGCGTCCTATTGAAAACTAGTTTTCTAGAGGTTTTGAAGAAAGATTGGTATTGTTAGAAATGAGTTTTGAATTTCTCATTTGATTAGAAAAGTATTGTTTTTGTTTGTATAGTTGTAGTTGCTATCTCTAGCACTGATTTTTACTGGGTATTCATAGTATTTTATAATACATATTACGTATAAAAATTAGCTTTAGTAAAGGTCATTATCCCAAAACATAAATATTTTAATTTTACAAAGTGTCACGTTGCTAAGCTATGGTTTTGTGTAACAACATAGAAACTATTCAATAATATATGTTTTTTTTTTAGTTTGGCAGTAGCAGCTATTCCGGAAGGTTTACCAATTGTTGTAACTGTAACATTAGCACTTGGTGTTCAACGTATGGCAAAACGAGAAGCAATTGTTAAAAAATTACCTATTGTTGAAACACTCGGTTGAGTATATTTAATTGAGTTTATTTTATCTATCTTTTAGAATATATGATAATTTTTAGGATGTGTAACAGTTGTATGTTCAGATAAAACAGGTACATTAACAAAAAATGAAATGACAGTTACAAATATTTTGACATCAGATGGAGATATTGCTGAAGTATATATTTATAATCAAGAAATAAATAACAAGACATGTATATAATTGTATTGTAATTTATTAGGTTACAGGTTCAGGTTATGATGGTGAAGGTGATGTTTTATGTGGTCATGAACGAGTAACTTATGATTCTCATCCATTAATTTCAAAAATAGTCGAAGTATGTATTTGATTTTTAATTTTCAATACTAACTTTTTCATTATCAAAGTTGTTTGTTTTTTTTTCCAAACTTTACTTATTTAAAAATAATAACCTAAAACCTTTTCTGCTACTACAAATAGTTTTAGTAATTTCATCTATACTACGTATCACTTAAGGTCAAGCGAAAGATGTGACAGTATTAATTAAAAATAAATAGATAGTTTCAATTCCATTGCATTATATGTTCTAAATAGTCGACATAATCCGTGAATGCGAATTATAATTCGAGTGAAGATGTTCATGTTAAAACAGTCAAAGTACCAAAAATAAATCTAATCTGTCTATGATAAATTCATCCCTGAATACTTGTAGTTAAATCATATAAATTATTCTAGTTAAGACATTCTGTTATTTATTCATGTAATAGATTCTTTTATTTTTACTCGTTTAAAAAAACCTTACGAGCAAAGTTGTCAGAACTTTTAGTCGAGCCAAAGTAATAATATTACAATAGGAAATCGAAAATGATTCAATTTTATCAAAATTCTAGTTAGACCACTCATTTTTGCATCTAGAATTCTTTAAAACGAGTTTGTTATTTTTAAGGTATGCATAATTCATGGTATAATTATGTCTGTTACTATTATCAAGAGAGAAAAAAACGCAATTAGTTGAAAGATTATGATCCGTCTAAAAAGAGAAGGTAAATTGATCATTAAAAAGCTACAGTTGACAAAAAAGCAATAACTAATATAAAAGGTTAGAATCAGTAGAAAGGATCTTATAGAATCAATAGAAAACATGGTCAAGTAATTTTACATTTTGTTTTATAATGAAGATTGCGTTGACATAAGATTAAGTTAGTAAAAATTAAACGATTATATATTTTTCACATAGGTCGGAGCTGTTTGTAATAATGCTGAAATAGTCAATTCTCATCTTCGTGGTCAACCAACTGAAGGTGCTTTACTTGCTGTTGCAATGAAAGTAAATGGAATCTTTTTTTAAACTTTATTTATCAAAAAAAAAAAATTTTTTTTTCTTATTAGATGAATATTCCTCATATTCGGCAACAATATCATCGTGAACGTGAATGGCCATTTTCACATGAAAATAAATGGATGGCTGTACAATGTACACCAAGATATAATCCAGTTCGTATTATTTATTGAAGATTTTATATTCTAAAAAACAAAATCATTTTCTAGAATGAGACACGTTTATATGTTAAAGGATCTATTGAACAAATATTAAAATTATCTAAACGATATTTACACCAAGGAGCAGCTGCACAATTAACAGAACAAAAAGTCCGAGAATTTATGGCGGATTCAAATCAAATGGGAGCTAAAGGATTACGAGGTATAAAATATTTTTTTGATTTAAATTAAAACTTATTTTCTTAAACATTCATAAGATAGCTGCATAGTTATAGAAGACAAACAAAACTTTTATTATCTTATGAAAAGTGTAGAAACATCTAACAAGATCAATATGTAATTAGTTTTGTATTCGAAATAAGATATTGTGCAAGAGAGTATGTCCTAAACTGAAAAAAATTAGATTAAAAAATATTCACCGATCGGATCGAATAAATATAAATCGATTCTATTTTCCATAACAACAGTATTGTCTAGTGTTGAAAAAATTATTTTCTACATAATGCCAAAACAAATAGATCAATTGTATGATATTCAATCAGACAACGTACCTGTGATGCGTACTATATTTTGTCCAGCATCAGAACGGAGAAGATGTTGCTCCTCCAAAACTCGATTTGACCCTTCCAGAGCTTTAAATCCTGTCTCCAGGAAATAAAATTCGGATAAAACATTGTATGCACATGTATTATTTTTTACTGTCATTTTTCGACAATAGGAATAAACGAATAAGCTAGTGTATTCATGAAACACTGAAATACTTTTAATTAGACCAAATAAATAAATAATTTTTTGTCTCCTAGTTTTGGCTATGGCAACGGGAACTTCACTTGAAGATTTAACTTATGTCGGTATGGTCGGAATTATTGATCCTGAACGTCCACAAGTTGAACAAGCTATTGCTCAACTAAAAGCAGGTGGTGTTATGGTAAAAATGATAACAGGTGATGCTGAGAAAACAGCAAAAGCAATAGGTAAATATTTGAATGTGAAAATTAAAAAAAAAGCGTATCATTAAATAATATGCTTTGTTTTTTTTTTCGTTCTTATTTAGCTTCACGTTTAAAGATTTATAATGCTAAT